TTTGCTTGCCGTCTGTCTGCTGCTGGTCGTCTCGCTCGGGTCCGGCCCGGCGCCGGGCGAGCCGACCCCGCCGCGCGACCAAGTGGTTCCCGAGGGTATCGCGGGGCTGACGGCGGCGGAGATCTACGAGCTGGCGGTGCGGGCGGGACAGGCCGGCGAGCTGGCCCGCCTGGAGGCGCTGCTGCGGGCCGCGGCGCGGGCCGGTCACGAGAACGCGGCGCTCTGGCTGGCGGAGCTGGCCTTCGCGCGCGGTCGGGCGGACTGGCCGGCGCTGGTGCTGGAGCACCTCCGTCCGCTGGCGGCGTCGGCCGTTCTGGAGACGCAGGTGTTCTACTGGCTGGGTTTCGCCGGCGAGCAGGCCCGGCCGCCGCTTGCGCCGGCGCAGGTCGACCTCTGGTACCGCATCGCCGCGCACGACCTGGTCGCCGGGCGGGGGCTCACCCGCGCCGACCTGCAGCGCCGCCTCGACGCCTACGGCGAGGACTGGCTGAACGGCGGCGCGCTGTCCTGGCGCTTCCGCGAGCGCGTCGGGGAGGCCTGGGGGGCCGTCAGATCGGGCGGCGGGGCGCTGGTGAAGCAGGCCGAGGGCTATTGCCGCGCGCAGCTTCCGGACGCGGCCCTCCTATGCGAGCGGTATCTCGCGACGGCCGACGAGCTGCAGCATCCGCGAGGCCAATTCCTCTACGCGCGCCATCGCCTGCGCGAAGGCGCTGGGGCACTGCCGCGCGCCCAGCAGTACTTTATCGCGCAGAGCCTCTGTGAAAGCGGCGCTGCAGGAGTCGCCGAGGCTTATGTGCTGTTGGCCGAGCTCATAGTCGCGCGGGATTTCTACGACGGGCATCATCGCCTCCCGGTCTTGGCGCATTTCTTGAAGCGACGGGAGCTGTCGCAGCGGGAGATCGCCTTGACCGAGGCCCTGGCGGCTGATCTGTCGCCCGAAGAACGCAATCTTCTGGAGCTGCACCAGAACGGCCGCTTACCGATACCGACCTGTTGGACCGCGCCGTAGGCTGCCTCCCTCACGCGGCGGACCCTAAACGTGCCGGTGACGGACGACAAATCCCGGGACACACCTCGGTAATCTCGTCTTCGATCCTACCGATTTCTTCCTCAAGCGCTGAAATCCCGGCGTCGAGGGCGCTCATTTCCCACGTTATTTCGTCGCGCTTGTGTTCGGCGGCGGCCAATTCGTCAGAGCTGTCATAGATTCTCACGCTGAGTTCATTATCCGGCGTAGCCCCGGGCATACCCTCTGCTTCTTCGTTTTCGCGCATTAAGCGTTGCAGCCGGCGCGCGACGCCGTAAGCGGCGCCCGCCAACATGCCCAAAGGATGACGTGCAGCTAGTCGAAGGCTCGCGCTTACCAAGGTTTCGATGACGGCTTGCGTCTTTGCGCGCCTTTCTTCTCTCTTGATAAGTGCCGCTAGGCTCCGCTGTTTTTGATCAATTTCTTCCTGTATTGAATGTAGTTTTTCGTTCATTGGAGCCCGGCGAGCCCTTGCAGTAAGAAGTTCTCCTTGTCTGATTCTGAGTTTGAGCTGCAGGTTTCGGCAGCGGCGAGCGGGTTTCCCCGGCGTGTCGGGCGGCTGGTCGTTGGGCGTGTTCAGGGGCAGTCCGCCAGCCCGGTGGCAAAGGGCCGCTTCGGTTGCGGCTGGCGCTGCCGGCCGCTGGCGTCGCGCGCGACCGGGCCGTCGCCGTAGACGCGGTCGAACTGCGCCTTGACGTACTGAAAATAATCCTCATCCCGATCCTGCCAGTAAAGCGGATCGGCGACGAGGCCGACCAGATCCCGCTCGATGTCGGGCTGCTCTGTCGCGGGGCCACGGCGCCGTCGTGTCATCAGGTCGCTGCGATTGGCCTCGGCCATCTCGGTCAACAGCAGGGGGTGCGGGCGGCGGGAGGTGGGCATGGCGCGGCTCGCTTTCGGTTTCAGCGGGAGGTGAGCATGCCGAGAACTCTTTATAATAGCAAGAACAAAAGAAGAATATAAAGAGAGCAAACGCGCGCGCCGGCGTTCGGAGCCGGCAGCAGCCTGACGGGCGCGCCCGTGCGATCCCGTCAGGCTGGCGGGCTCCGATCCAAAGCTATGACGGAGGCTGGCCCCGCGACCGGCGAGCGCGCAGCACTAAGCCTTCCGGCTGCCCCGCAGCCGGAGCCCTGCGGACCGCCCCCGGCCGAAGCTGCTGGCCGGGCCGGGCGGGGCGGTGCCGGCGCGGTCAGTAGCCCAGGGCGCAGCCGTCCTTGCGCGGGTCGGAGCCGGCGGTGAGCAGGCCGCGGGCGTGGTCGATGCGGATGCACTGGCCGCCGCCCAGCGCCTGGCCGGCCAGGCTCAGGCTGTGGCCGCGGCGCTGCAGTCCGGCCAGGGTCTCGCCCGGCAGCGACTTCTCCACCTCGACCCGCTGGCCCAGGGCGAAGACGCGCGGGCAGTCCAGGCCGGCCTGCGGGTCCATGGCGTAGTCGATCAGGTTGGTCAGCAGGCGGGCATGGCCGAAGGGCTGGTAGTCGCCGCCCATCACGCCGTAGCCGATCTCCGCCCGGCCGTCGCGGGTCACCAGGCCGGGCATGATGGTGTGCATCGGCCGCTTGTTCGGCGCCAGGCGGTTGGGGTGGGCCGGGTCCAGGCGGAAGCTGGCGCCGCGGCTGTGGAACATCACCCCGGCCTCGCCGCAGAGGATGCCGCTGCCGAAGCCGTGGAACAGGGAGTTGATGAAGCTGACGGTGTTGCGGTCGCGGTCGACCACCGTGACGTAGACCGTGTCGGAGGTCGCCAGCCCCAGGTCGGGGATCTCGGCGAAGGCCTGCTCGGGGTCGATCTTGTCGCGCAGCTCGCCGGCCCAGTCCTTGGACAGCAGCCGCTCCAGCGGCACCTCCAGGGACCCGCCGTCGGCCAGGTGGCGGTTGCGCATGTCGTAGGCCAGGCGCCCGGCCTCGATCTCCAGGTGGGTGCGCAGGGCGCCCAACGGCGCCAGCCCGGCCAGGTCGTAGCCCTCGAGGATGTTCAGCATGGCCAGCGCGACCACGCCCTGGTTGTTCGGCGGAATCTGGTGGACGCGGTGACCGCGGTAGTCGCTGGCGATCGGCGTCACCCATTCGCCGGCGACCGCGGCGAAGTCCTCCAGGCTGTGCACGCCGCCCAGATCGCGCAGGCTGCGCACCATGGCCTCGGCCACCGGGCCCTCGTAGAAGCCGGAACGGCCCTCCCGGGCGATCCGCTCCAGGGTGTCGGCCAGGGCCGGCTGACGGTGCAGGTCGCCCTCGCGCGGCGCCAGGCCGCCGGGCAGGAAGTCGGCCGCCGCCTCGGCGTTGCGGCGCAACTTGGGCGCCAGCTCGGCCCAGTCGCTGGCGACGCGGGCGTGCAGCGGGTAGCCGTCGCGGGCGTAGCCGATCGCCGGCGCCAGCAGCTCCGCCAGCTCGCGCCGGCCGTAGCGCTCGTGCAGGCGGCACCAGGCGTCGACCGCGCCGGGCAGGGTCACGGCGTGCGGCGAGGTCACCTCGATCTCGCTCAGCCCGGCCTCGCGCAGCGTCTCCAGGCTGGCCGCCGCCGGCGCCCGGCCGGAGCCGTTGAGGCCGACCACCGCGTCGCCGCCGTTGGGCGCGTAGAGCACGAAGCAGTCGCCGCCGATGCCGGTCATGTGCGGCTCAACCACGCAGAGCGTCGCCACCGCCGCGATGGCCGCGTCCACCGCGCCGCCGCCGGCGCGCAGCACGTCGAGCGCGGCCAGGCTGGCATAGGGATGGGAGGTGGCGACGGCGCCGTTGGTGGCGTGTACGGCGGAGCGGCCGGGAAAGTCGAAGTCGCGCATCGTCGGGAGGTTTCCTCGCAGGTCTCTGGGCAGGTCTCTGGGCAGGTCTCGGGACAGGTCTCTGGGCAGGTCTCTGGGCAGGTCTCGGGACAGGTTGCCGGCTTGGGCCCGGGCGTCGCGTTCGCGTCTGGCGGGGCAAACGCCGCCGGACGCCACCCTGCTCCCTGACTAGCTTGCCTGCGCCGGCAATGCCAGCCCGCAGCGCCTCTCGCCGCTGTCGTTGTGCCGTCCGGCACCACCATGCCGCGCGAGCGCCACATTCTCGCGGCCTACTTGTCGCCAATCCGCGCGCAAATCCGATGAGGGAGCGCTGCCATGCCTGTCCCCGCCGCCGGCTCGCCGGTCCGTCCAATCCCAGGGTCAGGGCCGCGCGCCCTGCCGCCCGTGATCCGCGGCGCCGGCACGGCTCTGCTGGCCCTGGCGCCCCTGGCCCTGGCGCTCCTGGCCCTGGCGCCCCTGGCCCTGGCGCCGCTGGCCCTGGCGCCGCCGGCGGCGGCTCAGCCGGATGGCACGGTCTACGAGACCGAGCAGGCGCGCCTGCGCCTGGCGGTGCTGGCCGAGGGGCTGGCCAGTCCCTGGGGGCTGGCCTTCCTGCCCGACGGCGGTCTGCTGATCACCGAGAAGCCGGGGCGCCTGCGCGTCTTCCGCGCGGGGCGCCTGTCGGCGCCGGTCGCCGGACTTCCCGAGGCCGCCGCGGTGGGCCAGGGCGGCCTGCTCGACGTGGCGGTCGATCCCGACTACGCGCAGAGCGGCTGGGTTTACCTCTCGCTCGCCGCGCGCGGCGACGGCGGCCTGGGCACGCAGATCTGGCGCGGGCGTCTGCGCGACGGCCGCTGGGTCGACGGCGAGCTGCTGTTCGACATGGCGCGCAAGACCAACGCCGGCCGCCACTTCGGCTCGCGGCTGGCCTTCGACCCCCAGGGGCGGCTCTACTTCTCCATCGGCGACCGGGGCGACAAGCCGCGGGCTCAGGACCCGGCGGACTCGGCGGGGCGCATCCACCGCATCGCGCGCGACGGCACGGTGCCGCCGGACAACCCCTTCGTCGGGCAGGCCGGCGCCAGCGAGACCGCCTTCACCCTGGGCAACCGCAACGTCCAGGGCATGGCGACCCACCCGCAGACCGGGCGCATCTGGATGCACGAGCACGGCCCGCGCGGCGGCGACGAGGTCAACCTGGTGCGCGCCGGGGCGAACTACGGCTGGCCCGAGGTGACCCACGGCGTGGCCTACTCCGGCGCCACCATCAGCGCGCGCAGCTCGGCGCCGGGCCTGGTCGACCCGCTGCACGTCTGGGTCCCCTCGATCGCGCCCTCCGGCATGACCTTCTACAGCGGCGACAAGTTCCCCGCCTGGCAGGGCGACCTCTTCATCGGGGCGCTCAAGTCGCGGCTGCTGGTCCGCCTGGAGCTGGACGGCGAGGCGGTGATTGCCGAGGAGCGCCTGCTGGTCGAGGAGATCGGCCGCATCCGCGCGGTGGAGACGGGGCCGGACGGCCACCTCTACCTGCTGACCGATTCCACCGACGGCCTGCTGGTCCGGCTGGAGCCGGCCGGCTGACCCGGCTCCCCCCTGGAACAGGGCGCGTCCGCTCGGTCGCCGATCACTCCAGGAAGACCTGGTGGGCGAAGTCGCGGCCGTCGGTGACGGTGATCTGCTCGAAGCCGAGCAGCCTGGCCAGATCGAAGAAGGTGAAGCTGTCCTCCACCCCCTTGTCGACGAAGATCGGCATGGTGCGGGCTACGGCCGTCATCATCGCCAGCACCGCGCGGGCGCGGTACAGGCTGTTCATGCGCGCGTCGTCCAGGGCGGCGATGATCAGCTTCTGCGCCTCCGCCCCCTTGGCGTAGAGCAGGTACTGCGGCGGGTATGGGCGTTCGAGCTGGCTGGTGGTGTAGCCGACCACGAAGCCGATGCGGGTCTGGCGGCTGGCCTGCGGCAGCGGCCGGCCGCGCGCGACGTAGGTCTCCTCGCTTTGCGGAGGCGGGTAGTAGTAGCCGGCGTGGCGGCCGTCGTCGTCCTGCGCCGCCGCCGGCCAGGCCAGCGCGGCCAGCAACAGCAGCCCGGCCGCGAGGGGCGCCGCCAGGGCCCGGCCGTGCCTCATTCTCCTGCGCTCCACGCTTCGCCCCCTCCACCATGGTCTTGTGCGTCGCAAAGGCTATACTGCCGGCGCCGAAAAGACGATGGTCCCCGCATGCCGCCTGAGTCCGCGCCCCACTCCGCCGCAACGGCGTCCGCCACCCCAGCCTCGGCCGCCCCAGCCTCGGCCGCCGCCCGCCCGCGAAGCCGCGATGCGGCGCCGGCGATCGGCTTCGTCGCGGCCGAGACCGACGTCGCCGGCCAGGCGCTGGAAAGCCTCAGTGCGCGCTATCCCCACGTGCCGCCGGCCGAGGCCGACGTGATCGTCGCGCTCGGCGGCGACGGGCTGATGCTGGAGACCCTGCACGCCAACCTGGAGCGCAGCGTGCCGATCTACGGCATGAACTGCGGCACCGTCGGCTTCCTGATGAACGAATACCGCGAAGAGGGGCTGGTCGAGCGGGTTGCGGCGGCGAGCTGCGTGAAGCTGCACCCGCTGCGCATGACCGCCACCTGCGTCGACGGCGCGCAGCGCAAGGCGCTGGCGATCAACGAGGTCTCGCTGTTCCGCGAGAGCCGGCAGGCGGCGAAGATCCGCATCTCCATCGACGGCGTGGTGCGCCTGCAGGAGCTGATCTGCGACGGCGTGCTGCTCGCCACGCCGGCCGGCAGCACGGCCTACAACCTCTCGGCCCACGGCCCGATCATCCCGCTGGGCGCCGACCTGCTGGCGCTGACCCCGATCAGCGCCTTCCGGCCGCGGCGCTGGCGCGGCGCCTTGCTGCCGCACAAGGCGGTGGTCGGCCTGGATATCCTGGAGCAGGACAAGCGTCCGGTCGGCGCGGTGGCCGACTACACCGAGGTGCGCGACGTCACCCACGTCGAGATCCGCGAGGACCGCGAGGTCAGCCTCAAGCTGCTCTTCGACCCGGAGCACAACCTCGAAGAGCGGATCATCATGGAGCAGTTCCTGCCCTAGGTGTGAGCTTCCAACAGGTTGT